CAGCCCTGGGCTGCTCCTTCTAGCCACGTGCTGTGGAGCAGCCTCTCTTCCTCTCTAGGCTCAGCCTGGCTGCTCCCGAACCATGTCAGCTGTGTGACCTCAGAGAACACAGCTGCACCCTCAAAGCGGACGTGAAATGCCCAGTTTTCAAACGTTAACAAATAATTCAGTGCTTAAAAAGAATGCACTGTGCTATGCCCACATCAAGGCCATCCTCAGCGTGCACCTGGCCTGGGAGCTGCAACTTCCGCTTCAGTGACATCCAGCTAACCTAAAGCACAGCTCACCTGGATGCAGTCTGGGAACGTCCTGATACGCCACCACCTGGCTGCTCCAAAGCCGAGAACATCTGCGCAGCTCCTCCTTGTCAGTCCAAAACAACCCATGGCTACAATGGCTTCCAGGATCTCCAAGGCAGCAGTCGGGTCTTCGGGACTATACCCAGAGAGCTCCAGCCAGAGGACAAACTCTTCCAAGCTGCAGGTGTTTTCCTGGGGTTTATCAGCTTGGTGAACGTGTCAGGGAGGCAGGAGTTTCCCACTGTAGCTCTTCAAGAGGAGCGGCTGGAGGACACAGAGGAAGATCAGAGGCAACCTGACAGGCCCTCCTCCCCCGACCAATGCACAGACCACACTTAGGAAAGGCACGCTCCAGCGCACAGGGCTCGCCTGCTGGGTGGACAGGTTGGGTCCCTGGGAATCAGGCTCCTCATCTGTGACCCTAGGCCCCTGACTACAGCTGACTGGAGTCCAACAGCTGACTGGATTTCTCCTGGCCACTACGATTTTCCTGCTCAAGATATAAAGTGAAGGGCACAGAGGCCGAGGACTGGGGTAAGCCCAGGAGGGCTCCTGCATTTCCCATGCTGGCTTCTGTTGCTTCCTGTGGAAGACATCTCTGCTAAGGCCATAATCGATAGGTTACCACTGCATTTTTGCCCAGTCCAAACTCCAAAGTACAGATTTCTAATTGTGGTTACAAAACGTAAAATGAACACCATCCCTTCACAAGTACCTCACTGTAGTGTGCTCATGGATATTGTGGTTTGGGGTTTTTACATACTGAATGTTTGCAGCAAGTCTGCCTCAAGGGTGTCTACCGCTGCCCACTCCCAATACCTGTGCTCCATCTGTGTCTGAAATGCTCTGGTAATTTTCATGATATCTCCACTTTTTCATGATTATCACATCTGCGACGGTGACCTGTGATCAGCAATCTTTGATGTACCACTGTAATTGCTGTGGGGCACCATGAACCACGCCCACATAAGACAGCAAACTTAATGGATAAATGTCACGTGTGTTCTGACAACTCCAGTGACCAGCCGTTCCTACTCCCTCCCTCTCCTGGGACTGCCTATTCCTGAGACACAACAATATTGAAATCAGGCCAGTTAATAACCTTACAATGGCCCTCTGTGTGCAAGTGAAAGGGAGAGTTGGACATCTTTCCTTTTACATCCAAAGCTGGAAATGATCGGGTTTGTGAGGAAAGCATGGTGACAGCCAAGGCAGCTGAAAGCCAGCGTTAGTCAAGCTGTGAGGGCAAAGGAAAAGCTCTTGAAGGAGATTCAAAGTGCTACTCCAGAGAACGCACGAGCAATAATAAAGCAAAAACAGCCTTGCTGCTGACATGGAGAACGTTTCAGCGGTCTGGATAGATCAAACCAGCCGCAACATTCCCTTATGCCAAAGCCTAGTCCACAGCAAGCCCCTAACTCTCTTCAATTTTATGAAGGCTGAGAGAGGTGAGGAAGCTGCAGAAGAAAAGTTGAAAGCTAGCAGACGTTGGTTCACGAAGTTTAAGAAGCCGTCTCCAGGCCAGGCCGGTGGCTCATGCTGTAATCCCAGCACTTTGGGAGGCCGAGGTGGGGGATCACGAGGTCAAGAGATCGAGACCATCCTGGCAACATGGTGAAACCCTGTCTCTACTAAAATTACAAAAAAATTAGCCTGGAGTGGTGGCACTCCTGTAGTCCCAGCTACTCAGGAGGCAGAGGCAGGAGAATTCCTTGAACCCGGGAGGCGGAGGTTGCAGTGAGCCAAGGTCGCGCCACTGCACTCCTGCCTCGCACCTGGTGATGGAGCGAGACTCTGTCTCAAAGAAAAAAGAAGCGATCTCCATAACAAAAAAGTATAAGGTGAAGCAGCAAATGTGGATGGAGAAGCTGCAGCAAGTTGTTCAGAAGATCTAGCCAGGATCAGTGTGAAGTGTATACACTAAACAGATTTTCACTGTACACTAAACAGCTTTATATTGGAAGATGCCATCTAGGACTTTCACGGGTACAAAGGAAAAGTCAGTGCCCGGTTTCAAGGCTTCAAACAAATGACAGGCCACTCTTGTTAATTAATGTGGCTGGTGACTTTGAGTTGAAGCAATGGTTATTTCCCATCCCCAAATTCTTAGGGCCCTTAAGAATTATGCTAAATCTATTCTGCCTGTGCTCTATAAATAGGTCAGCAAGCTGGATGACAGCACGTCTGTTTACAATGTGCCTTGCTGAATATTTTAAGCCCACTCTAGAGACCTACTGCTCAGACAAAAAACATTCCTCGGCCAGGCGGGGGCTGATGCCTGTAATCCCAGCACTTTGGGAGGCCGAGGTGGGTGGATCATCTGAGGTCAGGAGTTCGAGACCAGCCTGGCCAACATGGTGAAACCCCATCTCAACTACAAGTACACAAGTCAGCCAGGTGTAGTGGCACACACCTGTAGTCCCAGCTACTCGGGAGGCTGACACAGGAGAATCAGAAGAATCACTTGAACCTGGGAGGTGGTTGCAGTGAACCGAGATCATACGAGTCTTGCACACGAGTTCTGGGTGACAAGAGTGAACTCTGTCTCGAGAGAGAGAGAAATACATTAAGGTTATAGCTACTATGGTGATTTCTCTGATGGATCTGGACAAAGTAAATTGGAAATCTTCTGGAAAAGGGTCACCCTTCTATTTTGAGGTGGTCAAAAACGCACATCAACAGGAGTTGGAAGACGTTGATTCTCACCCTCATGGATAACTCCAAGGGTTCAAGTCTTTAGTGGAGAAGTAACTGCAGATGCAGTGAAAAGAACAAGAGAAACTAGAAGTAGAGGCGGAGCCTGAAGAAGGGATGGAATTGCTGCAATCTCAGAATCAGACTTGAACAGATGAGTTGCTTCTTATAGATGAGCAAAGATGGTCTTGAGTTTCTGACATAGAAACTACTCCTGGTAAAGATGCTAAGAACACTGTTGAAATGACAATGAAGGATTTAGAATATTATACACACTAGGCAGGGCATGTGTTATGCCTGTTGTCTCAGAGCTTTGGGAGGCATGTTGGAGGATCCCTTGAGCCTGAGATTAGCCTGGGCAACTGAGTGAGGCCCTGTCTCTATAAATGTTTAAAAATTAGCTGGTTATGGTGGCACATACCAAACTACTACCTAGGAGACTGAGGCAGGAAGACGACCTGAGCCCAGGAGCTTGAGGGACAGTGAGCTATCATCACGCCATTGCGCTCCAGCCTGAGCAACAGCCAGCTGCTGCTACTGTAGCCTGTCCCCTCCCTTGAGAGGCCTCTGTGGCTGGGCCTCAGCAGTGGTCCCAGCAGCGGTGGCCACCCCAGCATCTGGCTGTGCTTCATTACCACGGCTGGGGTGTATGGCTGCTCCAGATGCATCCCCTCCCCACCTTCCAGTGCACCCTGCTCACCCTTGTCACATATCCACATCTCTGTGAGGACTGTTCCTCTTGCCCATCTCTCAGTCCAGAAAACACCCACTTCCCTGCAAAGCCCCAGTTCCGTGCCAGGCCCTCAGGACCAATCCTCCCTTCTTTCCTGCCCCTCCCCTGTCCGCTGTGCTGCATCCTTCTCTTTGGTGGATTCCCATAGCACCCGGGAGGCACCAGTAGAGGATGCCTTGGACTGGACTGTAATCCTGTCACTCATCTGCAAAGCCCATCCTGCAAGCTCCCCAGAAGGCACTGCTGACCCTTGCTCGCCTGTGTCTGGCCAATGCCTGCATGTGTCCAGACCCGATGTCGCGGACGCCCGGCTCTACCTTTGATGACCTCATTCTCCACCATTGATCTGTCTACCATGATGATCTCCAGGATCCTGGTGTCCACGGAAATAAGGCTCAGAGAGAAGACGGTCAGGACGGCCACACAACAATTCCCCCAGGCCGTCCAATGAAAAGGCCACCATGTCATTCGTGGGCTTGTTATTATCCTGGTCTTTGAAAGAGAAACGATCAGGCCGATCCAACTTGCTGGCAGCCCGCATTGTGTCCAAAAACTGGAATGAATCCGTACAGATGGTGCTTGGAAACCACCACGTAGAAATCCTACACAGACAAAAGGAAGGGCCTGAGGGGTGGCCATGGGAAGCCTTCATTTGGACAGGCTATGAGCCCACCAAATCATTGTGGTGAGAACGACGTGAAATGCCCACTTCTCCCTAAAGCTCTCTTCCTATCCCAAATGCAGGCGCTGTGTGTTCCAGCTGGCGGTGTGTGGTGTCTCTTTTCCCTGCCTGCCTGAGCATCTTCCAGGGAATCCTGCTCATCTAACTCAATGTGGCCTTACGCGGCACTCCAGGAGGGCGCTGGCAGGCTCACCTCACCAGCGCTCACAGTACACAGCTGCTGAACTAGGGATGATGAACACGCTTTCTGTAACAATCTCCGCACAAAGCCAGCCCTGGTCTCATATAGAAAGCAGGGGACATGTGTGCTTAAGCTCGCTGTCACAATGTCATAAGCCTGGTGAGTCACTTCCCTGGCTCTGTCCAGGGAGCAGCATTCCATGACCCTGCTACCAGGGTTAGAGGGAGGGACCCAAGGGGCCTTCCTTGTTTGCTGACCACTACCTCGGTTCAGATGGGGACATGCAGTCAGAGCAGTGGCTCTGTGGACTTGGACATGTATCTTCTGCTGCGAAATCTACTTCCCAGAGGCCGAAGGTCATTCAGGGTGAGGGTTTAGGGAGGAGAAGGTGTCTGCCATCACAGGGCAGGGATGGGATCGAAGAACCGAAAGAAGATTCTCGGTGTTGCCTCTGAGCATCTGACTATAGCCCTGCTGACCGGAGGTTAGGCAAGGAGAATGGCGTGAAGGGGAAACCATCAAGGTGGCAGCGTGGGAATATTCTCAGGGGTTCCTCTGCATGTGGTCAGGAGGCTGATGATACCACACCTGCTGCCACACGAAGCCACATTGCAAGAACACTTAGGAGGAGGGCCTGTCTGAATGCACCTCTGCACCCCAACCCTGCACCAGCTGCTGGTGCTGCAAATGGGCCTGGGAGGCTTCCTGGGTCCTGGGGCTACACGGAAGAGGGACTGAGGCTAAGCCCGACCAAGAGGGTGGACTTCCAGCCTGGCTACTTATCAAATGCAAAACGGATTTCACACCACTTGATGAGAGAAACAAAAATAAACTAGAGGCGGAAAGTCTGCAAGACAGCGTGGCGGGGGTGCAGTACGGTTCTCCGGCCGGTCAGGGTATGTGATGCAGAGGCTGTGACCGACTGCTTTACAGAGGAAGGGACAGACTGGG